CTGAATGAAGCAACTGTTTGTGATGCTTTGAACTTCGTATATTTGCAATCCAGTGTGCAGCCAGAGTTGGCACATCGACTGTGTCTGTCACTGCAGTTATATCTTCGGCAGTAGCATTGGATGCAGTAAAATGGCAACAACAAGTCAGCGTGTCAACAGGCACACTTTGCCGAAGCAAAGCAAGAAAAGAAGGAAACAACACTCACAACCAGCCATCACCTTCGAATCAGCCAAAAGTGATTCCGCACCAGGGAATCGAACCCTGGCCGTCTCGGTGAGAGCGAGAAATCCTGACCACTGGACCAGTGCGGAAGCTTCTGATGTTTTGTGTTTCATTTGTGAGCATGCAGTGTTGGGGATATATGACCAGTTCGATTGAATTGTGTGGCAAGCCATGTCCACAGTGCGAGGAGGTGCATTGGCAATACAGCTGCACAGAGAATACAGAACAGATGGCACAGCTGTGCAAATACAGTCAGCACGGCTCGAAGACAATGTACGTCCGTGTGGAATACCACCAATCCTGTCTGATGTAGGCTGTCTGTGAATGGCAGCTGTTGCTATACTCAAACCTCAACTGCAGAACAATGCCATCAGAGTTGACGCAGAGCACCGAAAGACACTGGTTTCTGTCGTCCAGTGTAAGTACGCGGTTACTGATGTGCCTCTTTCTTCAGCAAGGATATGTCGGCCTCAGTCAGTCAAACCACAGTTCAATACAGATGACACAGAACAGATGACAGAGCAGATGACAGGGCAGATGACAGAGCAGATGAAAATAGAGTCACAGTACATTCAACGACTGGCAAGCATCACATCTGGTCAAGTGGTGCCGCCGATTGGTGCCGCTCCTGCTCAGTGCCTCGACAATGGAATCCAACCGATGCAATGATGCGCGCACACGTCGAAGCACACACAAGTATGTACATTCAAGTATAGGCACACGCATCCATTCATCCATACACTCTCATTCGCACTCGCATTCGCCTCATAGTCCATCCAAGTCGAATTGTCGAAGATGGTGCCGCCGCCTGACCACATTGTGACGAGCCAGTCACTCTGGCGAGCGAGCCATTCGGCATAAAGCATGTGCACTGTGACAGCTGCCTCATCCACGACAACTCCTTTGTTTGATTGTCGCCAGCAACTTTTCGCACAACATCGCTTCACATCATATCAGCTCCAGCGAAAGCACACACTCACAATCATATTCACAAATACACCCACAAACACTCACAAATCCACGCGCTCTCATTCAGATATACTCACTCATCCATCCTACTACTCTAACATACCAATGCACGTTTCTCCAGCTCTCGGTGTCGCCGCTGTCCTTGCCGCCGCTGCAGCCGTCGTGTCTGCCACCGACGTCTACTACGGCAGTAGTGGTATCAAACCCGTCAACTACGGCAAGTGCACGCACGCGTCAGCCACTGAGGCGACCATTATTGATGCCGAAAAGAAGGCCGAGTTCAAGTGCTGGAAGGGCGGTGTTGCCGACATCGACTGCTACGGCACTGGATCGCCAGAGACGGCGTGTCCGAAGATCGCAGCACGCTGCAGCTCATACAAAGGCAAGTGGGAGCCGAAAGAGTGTCCTCCTGTCAAGTACTGAAGGCGGTGAGTAGTCACGATTAA